GCTAGATTTTGGCATTTAGCAACTGGCATACGGTTTAACGTGAAGTCAACAACAACAACAACAACAACAAGTGTAGATGCTGTATCATCAACGGCGGTCTGCTGCAGCCGCACACTGCGTGTGGGTTTATGGACAGATTCATTCCATCTGCTAGCAGTTCGTTTGCTGCCGGCTTCAAGCCATGCGGCGAAACGACGTGCCAGTTCAAATCTGCACTGGTGTCACTGGTTCATCAGTGTCCGTGCGGGCGACCCATGCACGCTATTTGTGGTCGGGGCATCGGAGAGGAAGGCCATATCAACACCAGCGCACTACCGTCGTGTACATGTACGATGCGTAGGTCGTAGAACACCATCGCTTTCAGCATTTTGGTGATGCAGTACGGGGAAACTCAAACGATGGTATGCAAGTTTGTATTGCAGCACAATAGCAGCAGTGGTTGCGACCTTCAAATCACCTGGTGTCGTAGGTTGAACAACACCTCTTGTGGTCGCCTTTCTGCTGCGAATGCGCACCTTTTGACACATGTTTCGCCTGCATTGGCCCCGGGGATGGTGCGTTAGTGGCCCCGGAATTTGAAAGACACTTCCCCGCGTGAAGGACACTTTTTATGGGAAAACGTGGTGTGTCTTAAAAGCGGGGTCGACTACAACTGCTGTACTACTGCTGTTGTAGGCACAACTCGGCGGGCAAGTATCCATGTTTTCCGCCCGCGGAATTGTTTTTTTGATTTTCTTAGTATCACAAATCCATCTCTATCTCCGCACATACAGCACTGGAGTCATCGCACAGGGGTGTGCGCTATGTATCAAACCCAATGATTTAATTCAATTTCCGCACAGGGTATGGAGTCATCGCACGGTCCGGATTCATCGCACCCCTGTGTGATGAAAATGAAAATTAAATAGCGAAAATGTTTGAAAAACGATCGCACGGGGGTGCGATAACCCGCAACCTCACGGTACCCCATTGTGCGAGGACTTCCTTTCCGGGTGAAATCCAGACCACACTCACTGCCCGGCTGGCCGTGAAGAGAGTTTGAAGAGTTGCAGTAGATGGGTGGACTATACCCTTGACGTTGAAGCGAACATATTCCGACGCGCAGTTCAGCGTCGGCCGCCCGGCCATGCAGTTTGTCGCCCATCCACGCACGGTAAGTGTTGAGTGGACTGCCCAAAGACCAGAACGAAACGCCGGCTAAATCTGTAGCAGGATTCACTCCAAATTGGGATCGGAACCGATTTCAAGTGAGCCGCGGTTTGCTTTGCCGCCTTATCGCTTGACTGGACCCCACCCCACACAATCACCACAAACGTAAGCTAGTACCTCCACGGTGTTGAACGCTCTCAAGTACGTGATTGGGCCTCGTGAGCATTTTTGTACAGCTTTGCGCCATGCATCGATCATTTCAAAATCATTTTCACTCCGAACCAAGAGCAGGGTAAAATGGTGACGCCATTGAACGTCTGAATGTCGGCAAACATCAAAGGCACTGGCTCGCTCTTTTAGGAAACCGCCTGTCCTTGTGCGCCACCCCTAGCGCAAGGGGCAGTCTTCGCCTTCCAGATCACCCAGATGCTAGTGTTACGAGTTTACGAGGCTAAAGTACCTACCAAATCAAGTGGGCCCTGCTGGCGACTCGCAAAAAGACACTCATTCCACTCCGAATGCCGGTCCAACGCTCAGTGTTCGACGCCATGCGGAACAGAAAGAGACCGAACCGAGATCCATAATCCCAAGATTGATCCCCTTCCTCCCACGAATGAAGTATACACAGGCCAAGCGAAGTATATCAACGCCACCGACGTCGTCTCCACTGGGGTTGCGGGCGAAATCCTCCAGCGTCACGCAGATCGACCACAAAAACGACGATCAATGTCGAGGATTTGCGGTTGATATCTGACGGAGAGCAAAAACTTATATCGGTGTGACGATGGCCAATGCCCCGGTGCCTGTACGACTGCTGCTTTGCAAGACATTCTCCTCCTCTTTCCGATCCACATAATCATCAGACACCGTCCGTACCTCCGTACATGGCAGGCCTCTGTCTTACATGCAACCATCGTGGTTTTCACGCGGTCCCTCTCAAACCATGGGGTGGATCTACTTGATGGAGTCCTGCATCGCGTCCCTCACGAAGCTGAAAGAGTCCGGTGCTTTCGGCGCTCCCGCCGCCGCCGCCGCCGCCGCCGCCTGCTGGCCCCCTACCCCCAGCTCGCTAACGTCGGGGATGAGCTTGCCAGCACCCGAACCCCCGTTGATGGCGACACTTCCGACACCTACAGGTCTCATCCCCAGGCCACCCGCAGCAGCAGCAGCAGCAGCAGCAGCCCCTACACGAACTCTTTGCTGCCCCCCCCCGACGCTGTTGTAGCGCATCATGGCCGGCGTACCACCCCCCATGCTCCCCCCGAACGCTGCTGCTGTTGCCCCTGCCCCGACACCCACGCCCGAGGAGGCGCCCGTGAAGGAGGAAAAAGACCCGCCCATCATGCCTCCTGCCCGCCCTTGCTGTTGCTGCTGCTGCATCAGCATAACCTGCGTTTGGCCAAAAAATGTCAAGTGTCGGTTTCAACTGATCGCTAGTTGAGGGCCCAGCGACGGCGGCGGTTTTTCGCGAAACGCATTGCAATGTATTGTAAGGCAATGCCGGTGGGGACGGAAGGTGGAGTGTTATCACGAAATACCTCGCAGGTTTTTGATCGTTCGCTCCCGTGCAGATAGGTTAGCTTATGATCGCTTGCATTTCACGTTCTCCGCCAAACAACGGTGCACAGGCCGAACCAGCTCCTCCATGGTGTACTCTACACCGCATCGAGCCGCTGCAGGCAACAGCAACAGCCTTGACAACAAGGACGCGAGAACGTATCCAAAACACCCGATGGTACAACAACACGAACGCCGTAATTACCACCATCACCTTCTGCTGCAGCATCTGGTTCCGGCCAGCCAGCCCCTCCACCGCGCTCTTCGTCCCCCCGCCGCTTGCCCAGTCATCCAACAGCGACCCCGAGGAAGCCGGCGCCCTCACAGCACCAACGCCGCCCTCGCCGGAGGCGGCGGTAGGAGCGGCGGCACCGTCTCCTTTGCTCGCCGCCTGGCCGTTGCCGCCGCCGGCCAAGCCTAGCCAATCATTATCGCCGGTGGTTTCCGCCTCAATCGGTGTCTTGCGGGCGGTGGCGGTGCTGCCGCTCCCGCCGATGTCTCCCGGCGACATGGTGAGCATGTCCGAGAGGTTACCGCCATCGCTGGTCGCCGCCTGGGCTCCTCCGAATCCGGACAGCAGGTCCGTGCCCGCCGCTGCATGGCAGAAGGCGCGACACACGGGGGTATGGGTGGGGAAGCGTAAGCGTCTGTGACAAATGCCATTGAGGGACCAACAAAGTCACCAAGAGGTATGCTCGGTCTTGCAACCCGGACAAAAGGTCCGCGCTCTCCGTTGCATGGTCGTGTAGAAAGGGGGGAGATAGGCGACAGGAACCAACACCAAGCCACGGCGGGTGGGGAAGTGCACGCGTCCGTGACTGCCACGATGAAGGGAGAGCAAGCATCTCGGCACCCCGAAAAACCAGCCAAAGTTATACACGGCCTTCCTGCTACCTATGTAAACTCACCGCCTTCCGAAACCGCTGCCGTCTCTTCCGCCTGCGCTGGTTCCACCTCGCCGCCGCCCGCGCTCCCCATGAACGCAAACCCCGACACGCCTCCGCCACCACCGGCTGCCGCGGTCTTCGTTTCTTCGGCATCCGCAGTGGCATCACCGTCGCCGGTGCCGCCAGCGGGCTCGTCCTTAACGGAAAGGTCCCCGAACAGGCTATCCGGAGCCGCTGCAGGGCTAGAGGTTCCTAAAATACCGCCACTACCGGAGCCAACGGCGGCACGACCGCCGTCTCCCATGCCAAGGAGCTCATCCAGCCCCCCCCCGGCCCCGTTCGACGCGCCCCTTGGCCCGGCAGCCGCAGCCGCACTATCATCATGCAAGCCGAAGACATCGTCCGCGCTGCTACTTCCGGCGACCGCGGCGTCGCCGGCACCCAGAATGTCGTCGCCGACAACCCCCGCCCCGTCACCGCCTTCTTCATCCGAGAAGCCGCCGAGTAGGTCTACCGCGGGACCGGACGGGGCGGCCTTTGTGGTCCCCGAGATTGCCGGTGAAGCGGGGTCGCCGTCGGGGGCGCAGGAGTAACCGTCCGTGGCGTCCTCTTGAGACGGCGCGGCCGCCGCCGCCGCCGCCGCCGCCGCCTGGAGGGACGAAGGGTCTAGGCCCAGCAGCTTGGATACTCTTACCGCTCGATCCCTGACGGCGGGCTTCGAAGAGCGGTTTGAGGAAAGGGAGCGGAGTGCGATGAGGGATTCTAGAGGATAAGGGGTGGGGTATCAATGATGAGGAATTACTGCGGACAAGGGCGGGGGAAAGATGCGAGAGAGGAGGACAGAACAAATATCGTGCCTCTCGTGAAATCTTCGAACAGCAGTGCGGGGGGCATTCCTGTCGTATCACGCACGAACCAGCCATGGCATGTGGATGGGGACTGTTCGAAGGGAATAAACGGAGCAGAAAGGTGAGTCACTTGTTGATCTCTCAGAACACAAGATGGTGGCACTACGAGAGTTTTTTCGCTGGTCACCGACCGGAAGTAATCTCCGATCCACACTAGGGTGCGTATGTGGTGGGGACAGGTGGTCACAACGGATGGTGTTCTTGTTTACCATATATATGACACAAGATAACACACCCCCTGGACCGATTTTCAGAGCTCGATTACTCCACGACGAAGAGGTTGCATAAACGAAACGATACATTTTTGGAAAGCTCTCGACGAGAAGGTTTTCGGCGCCGTGAATCTTTCTGTTGTTGAGAAATCGAGATTTGAAAAATCGGTCCAGGGGGTGTGTTATCTTGTTTCATTTACGGTAACCCCAATGACGACGACTTCACACTTCACCGCAACGGTCGATGAGATCCGTCTCAACAGCAGCAAGATGCACACGCAGGTCCATATCGGTATAGTATTTCGTTTGTGGTGAAAATCTACGGCTTGCGCGTCATGCCACGAAGCTAGTCCACCCACCCAACAGACGGCCGACAAATGCCCCTCACACCGAATGATTCAAGAAACCACGCACACGCAAGCGCTGCACGCCTCGATCGTGGGCGTTCAACCGAAGACATGGACGAGGAGCGGACGGCAATCGAATACCGGTGGTGTAGACCACCAGAAAAAAAAACGCACCCACGCCTTCTGTAGAGCCAAAATGAGAGCAGCGAGCATAAGGCTTCTTCGAGCGAATGCGAAACCTGTTTACCTTCGGGTCGGCGCAGAGCGGGATGACTCCCCCCTCCGTGCCTTGGAACGCATCTTCGAGGGGGATCCGGTAGCTCGGGTCCGATCGATGAAGCGCCTGCCACGAACACCAACAAAGCAGGAACAAACTCCAACAATAACGCACACGATCTTGATGAACGGACTGAAAAAAAAGCCCTGTGGCTATTTAGCAGAACAACATCTTCTGATGGCCATTTCACAGAAAAAGACATGGACGCCACACACGCTGCCACGTGAAGTTTATGCGTACAATAGCACATGTGTTTTAGCCCCCCTGATGTGTATGTACAAAAGACCTTCGGCACAATGGCCGAGAGACACGCGTGCACCAGCATGCACCATTTCAAACACGGGGACGTGCAAACCGCCCAGCCGACGCGAGTTCCTCAAGCCAACAAGAGAGAAAGGGGCAGCAGAGCGAGTAAACAAGAAATACTGTGCGAGTAGATCAAGACAAAAAGGGCGTTGGCTATGCATTGCGAGAGAACATAGACAAACCTACACCAGGAGGCCGGGAATAAACGAGCAACCAAACCATGCCCCACTTAAGCCGGACGAGAGGCACAGCACCCCCCCCCCCCCCCCCCCCCCCCCCCCCCCCCCCCCCCCCCCCCCCCCCCCCCCCCCCCCCCCCCCCCCCCCNATATCGCTCCGTCCCAACGGTGTGGGGATGCGAGGACAATGGTCTAACGACTACCGCATGCACGGCTACGAGTGGACCCCCCCGCCCCCACCAAACAACTCGGCATACGGTTCCGTCCCGGCATGCCAGGTCAAGGCACGCGTATACGTTAGTATACCCCCCCCCTACCGCAGGACTGCCGGACGCCACAACACACCTCTACGACAGCCAAGCCCTTGCTTCTGGACCGCCAGTCGGCAGCCTCTAGGGCCACCAGCAACGCCTGGGCCACCCTTCCCGTGTCAAGGCTTGCCGCCTTGGACAGGAAGGCGTCCAGCTCTGGCTGTTCGGCGGCGCACGACGGGGCGCCGGGCGATGCGGCGGGAGGGTTGGAAAAGACGGAAACAGACCGAGTGAAAAGTAGGAAAAACCAAAAATACCAAAAAAAACAAGCATACTGATATCGCACGTGGGCAAGAAGACATGAAAAAACAATGTAGTGTGGACGTACACATTATTATCTCGTGTATGGCACTGTGATTTGGAGAGGGGTGGGTGTTTGAACCTTCCGAAAGGAGCGGAAAAGACCAAAAAAGCAAATTGATAAAAAAGAGAGAAAAAAAACAACTTCTTCGGGTACCAAGCAAACGCGCAGCGGAAAGTGTGCTATCGTGACTCTAATCCTTCAACTAAAAGCATAGCCGCCTTCAACTTCTCGAACCGATCGAGGGGGAAAAGATGCAACAATTAATGAGCGACGTTGCGCACGGGGAACTTCTTTCTGCGACTCTTTGCACCCCGAGGTTGCACGCCTTGATTCCGGCGGCATCACGAAGCTCCGCTCCTTAAGCGACCTCTGCTCCTTGAGGGTTTCAAAAGAAGCTTTTCGGGTGCTTCACCTTGAGCTTTTTCGGGCGCTTCAACAAGAGGGGTTCCGGAGAAAATCGCCGTTTCACCGGGCGCTCCTTCATCTACCACAACCGCTCCCCGACACATCCTCCCCGTGTGTGTGTGTCGTGGACCCCAACAAACCGGCAAATCAAACACACCTACCTTTCCAGGTGTGGACTTTGTCCCCGCCGCGGCGCAGATCTCCTCCACCAGCTTCCCCTCGTACCCCCCATCCGCGGCCCCCCCCCCCGTTCTCCCCACGAACCCCCCGTTCCCAGCTCCTCCACCCCCGCCGCCGGCGCCGGCGCCTTCTCCCCCGGTCCTTCCTCTTCCATCGTCATCTTGATGTTGAGGAGGCGGGGCGGCGGTCGACGTAATATTGGAGGAGCTCGGGCTGTCCCCCCACACGCCTCGAACGCCTCCGGCGGTTGCTCCTCCACCGCTGGTACGACAGAGCAAAGCACGAGATCAAGAAAGAGGACACGCAGAGACAAGATCAGTGTAAACGAATACAAAACTCAAGCATTGTTGTACGAGATAGGGGAGCAACACGCCCCCAACACAGCACCACAGTAATAAGGCGCTTGTCTGACGGAACTGGGCTACACGTTGATGGGGAATCTCCAGGTATAACCGGATGTGTCAAACACGATGGCCGACCCAACCCAAACCCAAACCCAAACCCCAACCCCAACCCTCACCCTCACCCTCACCCACGGCCAACGCACGGCCTGGTGGAACGGGGAGATGAATCCACCGTTCAGAACCAACGCCCGACCAGTCACAGGCGTGAAAAATTCCCTGTCAGCGTGTAAACACTACTTCAAGAAGTATTAGACTGCGTCTGACAGGCAAGGGCCCCGAGGACAGGCCCACACGGGAGCTACGGAAACCACCCGCAACAGAAGAAAAAGCTCAGGCCACCTGCCAGAAGAAGCGCCCTGATTCCACTGCGAAGCGTACGCCTGGCTGCTGGCCCTGGCATTTTCGTATGCGCTCGACACCGCCTGCTCGTCGGGGGGAGGCAGACCCCCGCAAATGCGACCAACACACACCACCGATCACAGCAGCGAAGCGAAGCAAAAAGGGAAGGAGGGGTAGAGGGGATCATGGGAAACGTTTCCCGGGGTGCAAGAGCAACAGCCGCAAAAGGTAAGCATCATTGATACTCCGTGCTCGTTTCGGTTCTTAGGATCTACCTCCGGCACAGCGCTTTTCGGAACGGAGGCCTCTGCCTATTTTCGGGGAACGGGCTACACAAGTCACGAAAAGCATCACCAGACAAAAAACGTCCTCTTTCGATCCTCGGGACAGTTGGCTGTTGCCTCCCCTCCACCTCCTGCCCCCTGTGTGGTGGATTGCCGCATTCTCACGCTGCGCTCAACAAGCTATTGAACCATTTCCACACCAACGCCTTGGCCCACGCACAAACAAACGGACTCGATATGAATGTGAACAACAACTATGCAGGGGGGGGGG